GCATCAGGTGTATCAGTCCTCCTTCTTCTTGGAGGGGACACATCAGGTGTATCAGCCCTCCTTCCTCTGGGAGGAGAAGCATCAGCTGTATCAACCCTCCTTCTTCTGGGAGGGGAAGCATCAGGTGTATCAGCCCTCCTTCTTCTGGGAGGGGAAGCATCAGGTGTATCAGCCCTCCTTCCTCTGGGAGGAGAAGCATCAGGTGTATCAGCCCTCCTTTTTCTAGGAGGGGAACTATCTGGTACGTTTGCCCCTTTCACAGAATATGAATCACGTGACAAATGATCCCTTTCAAAATCACTAGTTTCGTTTCCTTTTGATGTTTCAACATTAATAGGCGCCCATTTTGATTTCAAGTCATCTTCTCGCTGCTTAAAACGATCAATACTGATCGCTTCCACGCCGTCTTCATCGTATAACACAGGAGCTTCGTCCCCAGCGTCGTCGAATTCTGTTTCTTTCGCCTTCGCTTCATCTCCTTTTGGTGTTAAATCASTCCAGTGGACGTCATCGTCAACTATAACTGAACGAGCAAGCTTTTGAGGWACTTTAGGTTTCTTTTTCCGCTTCTTTTTCTTTTCTTCTTCAGCTGTATTCGACATATAACGTTTGAGGTACTCAACTTTTGAAACAGCCGCCATTTTGAAAYCGCTCGTAAGGAACACAGGAATCCCAATATTTGTTGTGGCATGTGATGAAAATACAAAGTGTACATCACTCAACTATGCTGCTAAAGGATAACTTTCAACATTTGTTGTGGCAATTTTTTACTATTTTTGTGGATGGCATTCTTTCGAAACACGAGCCAGTATATCAAAATAGCAAACAAGAGTATTGGTTATTTTAATCTTTTTAGAATATATCGGAAAGACGGGAAAATTTTTAAACATAGAAAAAGATATCAAAAATCTCAGATGGGATCCCTGTTTTATACCAAAATTTCAAAGATGGCGGATTGGGAAGAAATCAAAAGGCTTGCGGCCGACTTTCAACGCGTTCAAATCGCTAGTACAGCCCACAAATTATCAGAAAGAAACTGCATTGAGATAGTACAAAAGTTAATCAACCTAAAACTAATCGATGTTATCTATACAACCGACGGYAAAGAGTATCTCACGCCACAACAGCTGGAAAAAGAAATCAAAGATGAACTTTTTGTCCACGGAGGTAAGTTATGTCAGCYCATTTTGTTCAAAAAAATCATTCATTTTGATTTGATGTCATCAGTGCTTATTGCTTTATTCTTAGGAAGGATAAACTTAGTGGATATCCAGCAGGTTAGTTCATTTCCAGCTGGGAAGTTTTTATGTTTTTAAATAAAAATTGTCAGAACGTGAAAGACTGACGTGTCTCTCAGCTGATCAAAATCTTTTTAAAACTGTTTTTGTAAATTATCGAATCTTATCACATGAAAAAAAGTTTATACTTAATGAAGAGAAAAGTATAAAATTTGATCAAGTAAAAACATTATTGATAATATTAGAT